GGAAATTAACCATAGTGCGGCTATCACAGATGATAATTTTATGGTTTTGTCGCGTAACTCGCGCTTTGCTAAAAAAAACAAGCTATCGATCAGAAAGAGTTCTATAGGATCAATTCAATTGAATCAATTGAGCTTCATGCGCCAGATCGATGTCAGCCGTGAGGACCGGATTAAAGCACGTGAGGAGCGTATACGCGTTGCATCCAACTATCGCAGGTAGCTTTATTAAATTCTTAAATCTCGCGCATCCGCTAAGACGGTATTATTTCGAGCATAGGCTTGGCAATGTGGAGTATCGTAAGATAAACTTTGAGAAAGCGATTGAGCACTATTCCAAGGGCTTGGAATATATACCTGATTCGCCAGTGCTCTTTGTAAATCGTAGCCTATGTTACATCAAGTAAGTATTGCTGGCCACTGACGATGTGTCCATTTATCCAACCAACTGCAACTGTAAACAGGAAACGTGAGTTTAAGCGGGCCCTTATAGATCTCGACTATGTCATCTTGAATTTGGATGGACGCTGTTTGCGTGCCTGGCTCTATAGGGCCGGTGCCCTAAAGCGCATGAACAATGAGGCTGGCTATCTGGACTGCATTGATAATGCGCGTAGATATAATCATAGCGAGGAACAATATATTGAGAATTTTATTGAAAAAATGCGTACGGATCTTTAATATTCAGTGAATTTCAATCAAACTACATGAAAATAGTGAATAAAAAATTATTTCAAATAATAGGGTTCTGCTTCGAATGGGCTCTACATTGACATTTTCATTTTTATACCCTGAACCCATTGAAAATGGGTAAAATGGGTATGTTTTGTGCAAACGGAAGTTTATGTAACAGACAGAGGGAAGCATCTCCGACCCCATAAAGTATATGTATTCTTGATCAGCGTCAACACCCGAGTCGATTTAGCTATGTCCGTCAGTCTGTCCGTCTGTCCCTATGTATGAACGCAAGGATCTTAGAACCTATAAGAGCTGAAGGTCCTCCTGTTCCATGCGCAGATCGAGTTTGATTTCGATAATCGATAACTTACTCCGTTTCCAAGCAACCGATACAAATCGATATCGAAATCCTTTTTTTTGAGCAAATTGGGTATATAATAAGATATAGTATCAAGTGTCTTCCAGTGCTCCCAGTGCATAGCTATAAATCAAGATAATAATCCAACTTGTATTGCCCACTAATTTAGGCTACAATTTTACAGCAATTAACCTTTTAAGAATACACAAATACTCTATGGTATACTAAGATATACTGTAGAAATTTTCATTAGCATCGGGGTTTGTTTTGTGTTTCGGTACTGTTGACTGCGCACGTGTTTGCGACGCAAAATCCAAAAATTTCTGTATACATTGACACACACACATTCATGCGCGTCTTCGATTTCGATTTTTTTTTTCTCAATAAGACTCGATTATAGTTGTGGCGGTTGAGTAGAGGCGGTGGCAAGTGACGTGGTATATCCCGAGTTCGCGCCCTACCGAGGAAGCTTTTTTTTTTACTGGCTGGCGTGGCTGTTGAGTAGAGACGGCGGCAAGTAGTGCGGTTAGTTGCGAGTTCGAACCCTGCCAAAGGAACTTTTTTTTTTATTTTTCTTTATTACCACAAACGAGCGCGTAGCGCGTGCTGCATTTGTTGTTGGAATAAGAGGGTTCAGGGTATCCTCTAGTCGAGAACTCCCGACTATGCACTCTTACTGGTTTTACTTTGAAATACAAAATCAAACATTGATTCTTACACCTTGAACCTATTAAAGCTGGGTAAAAAGGATATACAGATTTTCTGCAAATGTATGCAATAGGCAGCAGGGGGTAAAGTATATTTATTGATATTTGTAACATATACTCCCTTATAACATACCCAAAATGATATTACGCCCATCTCCGATAAATCAGTAAAAATAGAATTTGTGTATTACTTTTTTAAGCCTACTCTTTGTATGCAAACCTTCAGTTAGAGCCAAAAAATTAATTCATTTTTATTTAATGAATTAAGCCTGAATCTCCCGATTTTTGGAATAGTTGCACATTTCGGTGCCACATTTATGCCCAGAAAGTTTGATACAAGTCGACTCTAAGCACCGACGTTCATAATAAAATTTGCCTAGTTTGGAGTTAGCAACAGCCGGAGTGTAAACTCTACATTAAGTATATATGTCTAAAAAAAAAGTGTGAAAATGTTTTAAACGGCAACTCGGCGTGAGATTCAGGGTATCTACTAGTCGAGCACTCCAAGGTATAGTAGTATAGTACGAACTTTAAGGAACAAATGTGTATTTTAACTCATGAATTTACTGCCTTATAGATATATACTATACACGCACATAAACAAAGCATACTGCAAAACAATTTAAAAGAAATAGAAAAAGTATAAAAATACTTGCACAAGAAAATTTGCAATTTTTTGCATAAATTCAATAAAAATTCCTATTGTCATGAGAATATTTGCCAATACAATATACATAGTACATACTCGCACTGGGCGATACAAGCAGCTACTAGTGGCCGGTGCTCGGTGCTCGGTGCCCGCTTTGGTAACCCTGAAACCCAGAGCTCCCGAATGCCTGCTCCCCAACCCAACTGGTTCTCGTTTCCATCGACTTCAATTCCAGCTACGATAAGGGCCACTTATACGCTTCGTTTGGAGCACGCTTCCCCACAAAAGACTGACGCTGCGGTTAGGTAAAGTGGGAATTGGTGGTTTGGTGGTCTGTGTGGCGCGGTGGCAGGGTGGCGGGGTGACAGCCACACAGTTTTCAATATGGCGCCAACAGAATTTGCATTTGCTGTGGCTAAGCCAGGCTGTATTGTACCATAATGAAATGCAGTTCAAATGCTTTGGGTATAAACTTTTGTCACAACTGGCAACACAAGGCGTGGCAAGGCGTGCTTGGGGTGTTGTTGATTTGTTGTCGTTGTTGCATTGTAAACTGTGGAAAACAAACGCAACGGAAGTGCCACAAAAAGGGTTTCACAGTTTGTCAATTGTATGCGGCCGCCGAGTCGACACCTAAAGACCGCAGCACCAGCTCAGCCCCTCGCACGGCATTCTCTTTGCCAAGCTTTGGCATTTCCCATGACACTACTGACACGCTGCCCTGGCTCTGGTCACACTGACTACTGCAGTCTGTTGGCTTTGCATCTAAGAAATGCAAAAATCCTTGTGGGCTAAACTCTAATCAACAGCAAAGGCAACGGCAACGGCAACGGCATCGGCAACTGCAACGTGGCTATTGCCACGCCCACTCCCACGCTTGTAATCAATGCTGTAAACACTTATTTTTGTGGTTTGCATCGCTGCAACAACAACGAAAACAACAACAATTGCCGCCGCCTGCCGGCATCCAATTTTGTGGCACATTCAAAGTTTGTCGCACGCTCCAACATTGTCCTGGCCCTGGCCTATCTACTACTCGTGGTCCTGGTTGTCATGCCACTGGCTGTTGTTGTCAGTACTTTGCGCTTTTTGCAAGCAGACAAGGCTCAGCGTTAGTATCAGAGTATGTTTTTGGATTTTCGTGCAGCAATAATGCGACGTTTTATAGGTGTGGCACTAGGAAAACCGACAACCTGCAGTTTAAAGGTAGCCCTGCGACTAGGCGTGCGGTTGTCCCAAATACAGACAATAATGCTGTTTACTCGAATGTTGAATGCTTATTGAAGAACCCAAATCACTATTTGGCACACACTTCGCAAAGTCAGATACTTTAAATTGTTAGCCATAACCTTTTGAGCTTAAAGCCTTACGTTAAGAAACTTTGAATCTTCGGATGCCAAAGCTACTTAATACATCTCCAACTGGAACAGATTGAGAATTGTAACTTAAATTTAAAACGGAGTGTTGATCCTTCTTCTTAATGAAATTGCTATTTAGAAAGAATTAAAAAAAAAATAATGTAGTCAAATTCTATTTAAAGATGTATTAAAAATATTTTTTTACCAAATGTTTTGCATAAATTTCAAAGAAACCATCTGTTTACAATGATATAATTTGCTATGCTTCAGAGAATGCTCTTAAGAAACCCTACTATAACTAACACTTGTTCGGGGAACACAAGAACGCCCTTAACAAATTACATGATGCACAAAACTACTTGGCAGTTTTCTATGTTGCTTACTCACGTGAAATATTAGTATAACGACCCTAGAGAAATTCCCTGGCTCAACCCTAAACTTTATGGCTTGAAGCCAATGTCAACAAACAGATTCATAAATCAGGCTGCGCTTGATCTCCGTTAACAGAAATTTCTTTCTGCTGCCAGCCTCAATTCTCAAGAGGATCACTATAAACCCATTTTCAGCACGCATTCAAACTATATTTTAGCATCTCAGTTGCTTTAGACTCTCATCCTCTGCCCAGCGAACGGCGCATCCCCTTGCCTTGCCCATCTGGCTGACTGTCCAGCGCTGTGTTTAGTTTTCAGCTTGCGGCTCGTGGTTTTTGGCTTCTCGGCAGCTTCTTGGCCAAAAAGTAATTTGCCCTTTATCTGTGTTGCGGTTTAAACATCCAAGCAAGAATCAAATCAACCGCTCGGTGGCAATGGGGAGTTCTGTTGGGTACAGGAAGTTCTCGGGTCGAGTCTGAGCATCTATGGGGTAGATTGTCTTTGTTGTAATATGCCTGTTTCTGTTTGTTTAGCATCTTTTATTTTGCATACCCTGTTCATATAAACTGCTGAATAACGAGTCAGCATGTGCTTTTGACTTAAGTAAGCGAGAAAGACAATACGTTCGACAACATGCCAAAGCATATGGAAATATTATTTTATATTTTATGACTAGAACGCATCACAAAGCAACTAGGCTTTTCAATTGGGTTGGTGAATGTGAAAAACCAAGCGCAGAAACCGAAGCCAGGCAGAGAGATGGTTCGAACCAGGTACAACATTTGCATTGATTTATTACCAGTTAACTATAATGAATCAATTTATTTATTCACGAGCTCCCTTTAATATATACATATAGTATATGTTTTTATTTTTCTATTATTTTAATATGATTTTCAGATTTTGAATCATTTACTACACTAATATCGTACAGAGACAATCTAAATCTAAATCGAGAAACGAGTCCAACGCACCATTACACTCGCGCGTATATTTGGCGGGCCACTCTCGTCGAAAATAGGTGCAAACTTTTCTGGAAACTTATTCTTCAGACAGCTGATCACTGTGTCTGTCAGATAGTAACGTGAAAGCCAACGGCACTCACACGGCGGTATACAGTGTACGCATTGTTTCTCAGTGGCCATCCAGGCACTGTGTGTGATCCGCTTGCCGGGATTCAGACAGCTCAGACGCCAGGGTAATAATGTATCCCGCTCTGTCCACCAGCATTCGCAAGGCGGTAGACATGTACGACAATAATTGTCATCGAAGCCAGATTCCGATGTCGTCTGACCTGTACTCTTTTCTGGGGTCTCTATGCACGTGTACAACTTATAGCGCGGCACGAGCGCAATCAGCTCGCTGTACTTGCGTTCACGTTCCCGACGTAGCCACATTTCGAGCATATCCCAATGATCCAGATTTGGAGAACGTTCCCGTATGAGTTGCATGCGTCTATACAAATCCGAGCGACGAACTGCATCATAGTTGAGGCCCGTCTGCGTGTGCCACAGCAAATAGAGCTCGTTGGGTTTCTCATCCGGCAACGAAATACTGTGCGAGAATTTCGTCAGCTCAAAGTGAAACAACATGCGAATGCCATAGGTAATGTGCTTTATGTGATCAAAATCTTTGATATTCATTGCCGACAACGCATCAGCGTCCAGTAACAACAGCTTTTTACCCCAGATCATATTCACACGAAATGTGTTCTGTGGATTTTACGATTACGTAATTGAGGACTTCTCATATAGGGCTAGAGACTCACCATGTACTGTGGATATCCATAGCGGGTTATCCATAGTCGTATATCCATATCATTCCATTCGAAGACCGAGGGTAATGGCAGCTTATCGGCCACATTAATACATAGCTCGACGAGGCTTGCAGGGGTGGCTCGGAACGGTAGGGGCCATTCGTCGCGACTGAACTGGACTCGAGGTGTTAGTAAAGTGTTATATCGAAATTTGATTGGAATAGGGCTGGTTCTTTCGGTGTCCTCCTTGAACCTAAACTTGGTGTCCGTTACGCCATATAGATAGGGCATATTAGCTATGCTACTAAGCTCCTGAGAAAAGTACTAGAAAAAAACTGCACGCATTCAGTATAGGGTGTTTTTGTGTGTTTTTATGTAGACTTGACTTTTACTGGGGAGCTTACTGACTGATACATGTACGACATTCAAACACCTATATATATATTTTCTGTTTTTGCATATCTAAAAATATACCTAAAACACCATTAAGCCTCGTCGATATTGACATACAATATGCTTGGTAGATGCACATATATTTATATTTTTTTAAATGTATTTTAAATTTGAAAATACAATATTGCTTGTATCCATTTAGATTTATACATAATTATCGATTTTTTCCTTATAAAGGCTTAGGCAACAGTAATTTTCGAGAATCTTAATTGAAATTTAAACACAAATATGTATGTTAATATTGTGTACATTTTGATAAGGATTATCCAAATTTTAGTTTTAAATACTCTTTACAAATGCCTTTACCGACAGTAACTTTTTTGTCACAGCATTGAAGCAGGCAAACTACAAACTTCCAAACTACCTAATGGTATAAATATATCTGTTATTATTGCAAGTTATTACAATCATTATTGTTATTTTTATTATTTTTCTTAGTATCGTCAATATTATTATTATTATGACTATTATTATTATCATTATTCATATTGTACTAATATTATTATTATTATTATTATTATTATTATTATTATTAATATTTATATTATTATTATTATTATTATTTTTGTTATTATTATCATTATTATTATTATTTTTATGTTTTACGTTTACCCATCTTACCACCATTTTTATAGTACTTTTATATATACTAAATTAAATAAATATTAATAATTTTATGCTATTGGTCAAAGCTATCTTTTAATCTGCGAGAATATCTTTAGACCTAGGGCATTGGCCAGTCGAGCAGTTTTCTCATATATATTTGCATTTATTTTGGAGCCACATCAGGGACTCATTTTGGTTTAGCCAAAATTGCACTTTGGCTGTCTGAACTTAAGGAACTTGGCCAAGTTGCCGTCTCGATGCGTGTTGTGTATTTTGTAGTTGGTTCGCTTGACATCAACCAGAAGTTGTACTTGCTGAGCGTCAAGTTTTTCATTAAGCAAGCACCCACCCGCATCTCGCTACCCCGCCAGTACCACCCTTTCACCCACCCGTCGGCAGCAGCACTTGACGTTGATGCTGTCATTTTGTGGCTGGCAGTTCATTTAAAGTTCTGGGAATCTCGTTTTAATTAGCATGCCAGTTTTCTTTAGCTATTTCCCCCTACTCTCGCCTGGCGCTCTTCGACTGGCATCAAGTCGAATGACCAGAAATCTATTGACACTTTTGCGCTTTATTAAATGTTTATTTGCTTTGTTGATTTCGATTTTCTCATCGAGCGAGCAGCGAATGTGAAATGCAAACAACAACAACTTGGAAACCCAAGCGAGGGGCGTATCATCAATATATGTAGGCGGGGAGTGGGCAGGGCTTTGCTAGTGTTTCATTGCGACTAGCTTAAGGCTAAGGATAACAAAACACACACACGCACACACACATACACTTGAAACAGGGTGAACTGTGTATGAGCACGGCTACTAGCAATGAACGGTAAACAAGGAAAATATATATGGGAGAGAAAACGAAGTCTCACTCCGTACGCCTTAACATACACATACAAACACACGCACGCACACTCGCATAATATCCCTGTTTATCTGCAAGTGGACGTGGGGAGTGACTGTGACAATGACTCGACGGCACAAATAGAATCGCCGAAGACACCGTCCACGCACAGTCGCGTCTTTCCCCGTGACTGTTACATTTACTGCTACTGCTACTGATACTGTTACTGTTACTGTGACTGAATTAGCAATTGCCTATATTGGCGGGGTGTGTTGGTGTCGGCTAAAATACATACAGCTGGCCGTATCTATTGGGCCACACACTGACAAAAATAATCGCTGAAGTAGCAATAGTAAAATTCATAAAATTTCAAACACATTTCATTATTACGCTTGATTTCAATATTAAACCTCAAACATTTCTCAAGTTTGAGACATGGTTCAACTCTATAGTTCATTGCTGATAAGATTTCGCTTTTCTATTATGTAATTGGATTGGTCATATGAATGATACCCGAGTGCTCCGATCCAGCCGACTCAGACAGAATAAATGTACAAATTCCAAGCTGTCAAAATGTTCTCATAGAAAGGCATTTTACAATGCATGCGCCGCATTTATTTAAATCTTAATTTCAAAGAATTGATTCGATTAAAATATAATATATTATGGTATATTGGTTAATTTGTTTATACGAAGTAAGCAAGAAAACAATGGGAAGAGTAAGGTAAACTTTTGCGTGCATTTCGTTCGAAAGTTTTTCTAGTGTGTGTCCCGCCGCAGTTCCCATGGAGTATACTATTCTTCATTTCCCATTTTCTTATACACACACACACTTACACACGCACACACATACACACTAAAACTCTGGGACTAAAAGAAATGTATTCACGTTGCTTTTTCATTATTCATGACAACTTGCTCTTGGCCGTCCTCGCTGCTAGATGTAACTGAGTCAAAGCAAACACTAGACACAAATACAGACAAAGGAGGAGCTAGGAAAAAACAAAATAGTGAAATAAAGGTGCCCCACACACACACACAAACATGCTCTGGTCGGTTGCTGGGGGTCCGGGGAAATAACAGAGATGACAATAAAAAGCAGTAAAACAATTTTCCCTCCTACGGCCACGCGTAGAGAAAGTCAGAAAAACAGCGAACCCTAAGGTAACTAATATTTTAAGAAAACAAGACACGGCTAGCAGCGGGTGGTGGGATTTTCTTGGAATGGGGGCATGCGCCCCCCACATATGTGTGCGTGGCAAGAAGGCAACAGTTTTGTGCCATGGGTCGGGTGCGGGCGGTAGGGTGATTCAGTTTTTGTGCAAGTGGCCGTCATCAAATTCAAGTGACATATTTAGACAGCTAAGCGACTCCCAAGTGTGGCAGCCACCGCACAAAGCAAAGGTGAAGTGGCATTGCCTCAGCCACAGCAAAAGCAGCAGCCGGCAGCAATTTTGCAGCAACTCAGTTGTTATTGTTGTAGCCCTTTTTTTTGGCCATGCAGCGAGGGTTTTTTGTATATGACAGCACCCACAAAAAAAATAAAAAATAAAGCAGCGACCAACCCCACACGAACCGACAACGACAACGACGCCGACGACGAAGACGACAGTTGCTTTTAATAATAAAATCATTGAGCATCAAAGCATAAAAATCAGTCAAGTGCAACATAAGCTTAAAGAGCCAGTCGTGTGGGTAGGTTGGATGCTGCTGTCAGGGATCGAAGGTAGCCAAGGTAGCACTCTGCCTGCCCTCTCTCGCATAGATGTGTTCGATTTTGCTGGGGCATTCGCCTTTTGCTTTTTTTATTATTGCTCCAGCAAGACAAAATGAATGTGATTTAATGTTATTTTTACAGCCAAATTAGTTGGCTTTTGATGTGCGTTTAACTTTTGTGGATGCCGCTTAAGCTTTAAGCCTGACAAAGGTAATGTTAAAGATGGAAGCTTGAAGAGCGCTTTGAGAAGTTTCCAACATTTGAATACTCTTTGCCGTATTGTAATCTTATCTTGAAGGAACTTCAGCTAAAGGAACCACGCTCCAAAATTTAATTTAATATACTAAGTTAACTTAAAACGTATGTCAAATATTTGAATATATTTTTTCTGATATCTGCAGGTCCTCCGAGTCCATGCGCAGATTGAGTTCCGATAATCGATAACTTGCACGGCTTCCAAGTAATCGGTAAAAATCAAAATTGACATCCTGTTGCTTGAGAAATTTCGGTGAATAAGAACTACAGTCACCAAAAGTGTTATATCAAGCATCATACATTTTATACCTATCGCCACCTCCCCGCTAATACCTAATAGCTATAAATCAAGTTAATAACCCAAGTTGTATTGCCCACCCATTTAAGCTACGCTTTTATTGCAATTTACTTTTTGAGAATACACAAATATTCTATGGTACAATAATATATACTGTAGAAAACTTCATGATGTTCGGTTTAGAAACACGCGTGTGTTTGCGGCACCAGCGCAAATTCGAAGAACATCTGTATGCATGTACACACACACACATTCATGCGCGTCTGCTTTGTATTTATTAACAGCATTATAATTGTGATTTTATTGTTTTCTGTGCTACTATTTTAAGTCGCTATTTTTTTTTCACAAAGACCTAATTATTGGTGTCCGTCCGTCCGTCCGTCTGTCCGTCCGTCTGTCCGTCCGTATGTATGAAGGCAAGGATCTCAGAACCTATACGAGCTAGAGACTTGATTTTAGATGTAGGTGCTCCTAGTGCCTGCGCAGATCGAGTTTGTTTGTCATAATCGATTACTCACTCCGTTTCCAACCAATCGATAAAAATCGATATCGATATCCTGTTTTTTGAGCAACTTTGGTAAATAATAAGAGCTAGAGTCACCAAACTTGACATATAGCTTCTAAAATAGAATATATATATGCATTTGATGTTGGAAGAAGAGGGTTCAGGGTATCCCCTAGTCGCAAGCTCCCGACTAGATACTCTTGTTGTACTTGTTTTTTATTTATTTTTGTTACTACTAAAGCAAACGAGCGCGTATCGCGAGATGAATTTGGTATTGGAATAAGACGGTTCAGGGTATCCCCTTATCGGGAGCTCCCGACTAGAACCTCTTACTTGTTTCAATTTATCTTTATTACATCAAACGCTCGCGTTGCGCGAACTCCATTTGGTGTTGGAATAAGAGGGTACAGCGTATTCCCTAGTCGGGAAATCCCGACTAGAACCCCTTACTTGTTACTTGCTACAAAAGACGTGAATTATTCAAAGGACTTTCTGGTAGGATATGCGAACTGTGGGCAACAGTTTATTGGGCACGCATTTTTTTCGTAAGTTTTTTGCAGGTTAGCAAAAAGTGGGGTGGCAATGCGGTAGCAGAAGTCACAAAAGGTGGTGCATGCAACCATAAAGAGACACCGCAGCGCCAGTTGTGCCCTCTGCGTGCAGCCATAAAAACTCATAAAGTGGATTCAACGTGCGCGCTATGAAACGCACACATACATATGTATGTGTGTATGC